TTATTGTAGAGATGAGGTCTCGCCAAGTTGCCCAGGCGGGTCTCGAATCCACGGGCTCAGACAATTCACTCACTTCAGCCTCCCAAAGCACAGGATTACAGGCTGAGCTACCGAGCCTGGCACATTTATTCTTAAAAAAAAAAAAAAGGCAGCTGACCAGGCATGGTGGCTCATCCTGTAATTCCAGCACTTTGGGAGGCCAAGAGGATTGCCTGAGCTCAGGAGTTCAAGACCAGCCTGGGCAACTTGGTGAGAGCTTGTCTCTACAATAAGTCACAAAAACCAGCTAGGTGGCGTGGTGTGTATCTGTAATTTCAGCTACTTGGAAGGCTGAGGCAGAAACATATCCTGAGCCCAGCAGGTCAAGGCTGTGGTGACCATGAGTGTGCCACTGCACTCCAGCCTAGATGACAAGAGTGAGACTCCAACCCCCCAAAAAAGACTACTGCCTGTGGATTTTGTGCAAGTGTCATGCCCAGAGACATTCAGAATATAAGAATCTCAGAAGCCGGGCTCGGTGGCTCAGCCTGTAATCCCGCGCCTTTGGGAGGCTGAGGTGAGTGGATTGCCTGAGCCCGCGAGTTTGAGACCCGCTTGGGCAACTTTACGAGACCTCATCTCTACAATAAAATCAAAATGAGTCGGGTGTGGTAGCGCGCGCCTGTAGTTCCAGCTACTTGGAAGGCTGAGGCGGAAGGATCGCCGGAACCCAGCAGGTCGAGGCTGCGGTGGCCAGGAGTGGCCACTGCACTCCAGTCTGGGTGACAGAATGAGACTCCAACTCAAAAAAAGAATCTCAGAAGCATGCTTTTTCCTCATTGTTCTGGGTAAAGGAACTTTTATCAGAAAGAGTCAAGCCACAGGGACACAGGAGTGAAAGTGGGTCATAAGGTGGAAACTGGGTCACACTTCACACGTCTGTGCACTGGTTAGAATTAAAAAACTGCTATTTCTGCCAGTGTCTTGTCTGGCTGGAATAGGGTGAGACTTCTAGGCCTCAGTCAGAGAGAGTCCCTGTTGGTTGCAGAGTATCCTTTGTTCCTTGGTGTGATGGATCACTCACCAGGGCTCCCCCTTCAGGTGTGCCTGTGAAGCTTGCATCATCAGGCAGACTGCCCAGATGGTGCTGTCTCTTTATCCATAGAGGTTTTGAAGGGCTGTGTTCAAATAGGGAAGGAATTTTTGAAAATAAATCTAATAATTTTCAAACAGACTCTGACAAGATTTGAAAGGCCTACAATCAACCGCTGTGGGGAATACAGATAGTTCTATTTTACTGGTTAATATCTTACAAAAATATTTCCAGGAAATGTTTATTCTCTCCCCCACCCAATATCTTTTGATTTAGGCATAATGGAAACTTCTGTGCTCATATAGCTGAACTGAAATCTCCTAATGAAACTGAAAGAGTTTTCCTGAAAGCTGTCGATTAAAGTTGTGCTGTGTCTTTTCTAAGTTTGAAAAAAACCTGGAAGGTATAAAGGATTGGTAATCAGCTATATGAAAATAGAAAAACTTCTGTATGGCAAAACATACCAGAGGCAAAACAACAGACAGATAAATAAGGAAAAGAAATTTGCAGCCCATGTTCAGAAAAGGGGCTATAGGCCAGGTACGGTAGCTCAGCCTGTAATCCCAGCACTTTGGGAGGCCGAGGCAAGAGGATTGCCTGAGCCCAGGGGTCCGGGGGTCCGAGATCTGCCCTGACATCTTGGTGAGACCTCGTTTCTACAATAAATCACAAAAACTAGCCGGGCGTGGTGGCATGCGTCTGTAGTTCTAGCTACTTGGAAGGCTGAGGTGGAAGGATCACCTGAGCCCATCAGGTCGAGGCTGTGGTGGCCGTGAGTGTGCCATTGCACTCCAGCCTGCGTGACAAGCCGGGGGGGGGCTATATTTCCTAGTATATAAAAACTTTTAAATTATTAAGAAAAATAATAACTCAGTAGAAAAATGGGCAAGTGATATAAAGTTTACCAAAAAGAAAATTCAAATATTGTCTTAAAAATAAAATTTAGGCCGGGCGTGGTGACTCAAGCCTATAATCCCAGCCTTTCGGAAGCCGAGGTGAGAGGATTGCCTAAGCTCAGGGGTCTGAGACCAGCCTGGACAGCTTGGTGAGATCTCATCTCTACGATAAATCAAAAAATAAGCTGGGCATGGTAGCTCACACCTGTAGTTCCAGCTACTTGGAAGGCTGAGATGGAAGGATCACCAGAGCCCAGCAGGTTGAGGCTGTGGTGGCCATGAATGTGCCACTGCATTCCAGCCTGGGTGACAGAGTAAGACCCTTACTCAAAAAAAAAAAAAATAAAATAAATAAATAATAAAATGTGCATGGGCCAGGCATGGTGGCTCATGCCTGCAATTCCAGCACAAACTAAATTTTTTTAAAAATAAAAATGTTCTCAGCCAGATGTGGTGGCTCACACCTATAATCTCAGCACTTTGGGAGACCAATGCAGGAGGATCGCTTGAGGCCAGGATTTTGAGGCCAGAATGTGCAACATAGTGAGACTCTGTGTCAAAACAAAAAAATATGCTAAGTTTCACCTGGAAAAAGAGAAATGCAAACTTATATACATAAAATACCAGTTTTTCACTTGTCAGATTAGCAAAGATCAAAACATTTGAAGTCACAGTGTTGGCATGGGTGTCGGGGAGCAGACACTCAGCCTTGCATTCGCCAGTAGGATCATCACGTGCACAGCTTCTGTGGGGGGATACCCAGCCAAAGTGTGATGATTGTATTCTCAGCCTGACAGTTCCATCACTGGGGATTTATCCCACACCTGTAACCAGACATGTGTACACAGACCTAACTGCAGTACTGTTTACACCGAGATGGGCCATAGGAAAAGTCCTAGAAGAGTGCAACCCTCACAGCAGCTCTGAGCAGTGGGTGCTGGTGGCAGCGAGGCTTCCTAGTGTCAGTGATCAGTAGAGCTGTTCAGGCATGTGCCAGGCTTACTATCCAGGCTGGGCAGATCAGAGTCTTGGGTGCAGCCCAGGCGGCTCTTGTGAGTTGTGCTGAGACCAGCCAAAGTGCTTCAGCCAGTCCTGGTTCCAGTTTTTATGAGAAACATGAATTACTTTTATGATTAAGAAGGAAGTCATGAATATATGCGACACACTTTTGAAAAATGCCATTTCAAAGTAAATTTGTTACATGAAGTTTTTTGTTTTTTGGTTTTTTTTTTTGAGTTGGAGTCTCACTCTGTCACCCAGACTGGAGTACAGTGGCCGCTCCTGGCCACTGCAGCCTTGACCTGCTGGGCTCTGGCGATCCTTCCGCCTCAGCCTTCCAAGTAGCCGGAATTACAGGCATGCGCTACCACGCCCGGACTGATTTTATGGATTTATTGTAGAGATGTGGTCTCGCTGCCCAGGCGGGTCTCGAACCCGCGGGCTCAGGCAATCCACTCACCTCAGCCTCCCAAAGGCACAGGAATACAGGCTGAGCCACCGAGCCCGGCTACATGAAGATTTAACTGGTGTTACGAGGAAATTCATGCACAATGAAAGTCTCTTTTCCAATGATGCTGAACAAGCAAAGTGTACTACACACAGCTTTTAAAGCCTGTTTGACACAGGTTGCATCGAAAAAGAGCAAAGGTTATTTTGGATGTTGGAGTTAAAACAACTTGTGAATGCACTGGTACAATGGCTTTTATGAAAATAAGGAGTTCTTAAGGAATCATGTATTTGTGTCTTGGAAATTCAATTCCATTTTGGCTTGAGTTTTATAACCTCTTCTGCCATCATATATTCTTGATGTCGTTGTCTAGAAATTATTCAGTGGCTTTTGCCCCAAAGCAAGACCCACTCTTGAAGGGGGATCCCATTTGAAAAGTCATGGGTTATTCAAAGCCCTAATTCCCTAAAATATTGGGCTCTATTAATTTTTTTAATTTTTAAATTTTATTAATTTTTTGCCAAAGATCATTTAGAAGAAGTTGGACTTTTTACTTCATTGAACCATGCACTTAGGTCAGATATAGCTTTTCAAGATATCAAATGAGTAGGGCAGTTGACACCAAAGGCAGGGAGACTCGAGAGAGGAAAGTGTACATCTAGCCGCCACGGGAAGAGAGTTGTGATCTGGGCTGGTGGGAGAAGGGGCATTGCAGAGCTCTTCCCTGCATAGGCTCCGTGAGTGCTCCTTGATGGTGAGAGCACAGGCACTGAGACACTGGCCCACGGGTTGCATGTGATCCCAGCTAAATGTTGATGGGACCATTTTTTTGGAAACCTGTCTTTGGGAGAGGAAAATAAGTATGTGTCTGGCCCTGAGGCTACAAATCCTAAGTAGAAATTTCTTTTCTGAAATTTCTATTAAGATTAGAAAAAAGATAGTTGTTTAAACCTAGTTGATGCACAAAATATAAAACAGTAAGTTCCCAAGTTTAAAATATTTAATCTTTTAAAATCTGCCTTATATTTTAGTTTATTTAATCATGTTTTAAATGCATCAAGAAGGTTTATTATTTAAAGGAATTGACAACCTTGGTTTTCTTCCAGTAGATTCTCTTAAAGTAGAAGACACATACCATTATGCCGATTGTCTCTTGATTATTGGCTGTGGTAAATTCAGCATTAAACGTGATAGAAAAGCCAGCAGGGCGTGAAGCACTTCTGACCGGCTTCTCTTTCTGAAACCTTTTCTTCTCTTACAGACCTTTCTGAGCTGACCCTTAACGGGAGCTTGGAAGAAAGGGTACCCTTCACTACCACGGTCACTTGCTGCCAGGTGCACTTCCAGTGACACACGCTGAGGGGTCCTCAGGTATTCACGCGCCCTTCTCATTCTCTTCAGATGCTTTGTAATGAGGACCTTATGTCTTATTGTTTCTGTGGCATAAAGGTTGCTTTAGTTCATTAGGAATGTGGATTATTAATCAGTAAGCGCATAAAAGTCTTACAGACTCTCCTGAGCAGCTCAAGTCTTTAATTTTCTTTCTACCTTCTGTAAGCAGCCCAATAGATCAATTTAATCCTAAAACCAGAGGAAATTTTGTGTGGTAGTGTCTTTGCATTAAAATCAGTATAGTATTTATTGGAAAATGAGTATGATTTTCAAGCAGCATATGGGTTTGACTTTGAAAGCAAAGTTTTTTAAAACAACTTTACCCCAGTCCAATTTTAGGACCCAGATCTTTAAAATGTTTTCATTTGAGATCACATTAACCAAAATAATTAACCGAACAACAATTTCTACTCTCTTATGTTTTGAGGTTTTTGAAACAATATTAAGTAAAATCAGGTGAGGAGTTGAATGCCTGATAACATTCTTTCTTAAGTGATGTTTTGTCTCCACATGAATGGAAAGTAGTTAATTGTAGTATTTTAACATAGTTAAGAATAAAATGTTCGAGACCCGCCTGGGCAACTTGGCGAGACCTCATCTCTACAATAAATCAAAAATTAGCCGGGCATGGTAGCACTCGCCTGTAGTTCTGGCTACTTGGAAGGCTGAGGCGGAAGGATCGCCAGTGCCCAGCAGGTCGAGGCTGCGGTGGCCGGGAGCGGCCACTGCACTCCAGTCTGGGTGACAGAATGAGACTCCAACTCAAAAAAAAAGAATAAAATAGTCCTTTATTTTTAAAAAGCAAAATATTTAGTTACTTAGAAGAGAAATAACTTAAATACGTATTGTTTCTTTGAGGTGTCTCCTTGAGTAAAGTGAGATGGAGTTGGTGTAGGAAGCCTGTCCCGGGACTGTCCCACCTGCTTGCCTCCCATCACATCCTCTTTCAGGCTGGCCACAAGGATTTTCAGTGGGAGGATGCTATTTTTAGATGGGTTCTGCCACCATGTTGGGACAGTGCTGAGATGGCCATTATTTGTACATTAAAGTTGTGTTTCTGGACAGATTTAAAAAGGAAGACACATCAAGTCATAAAGCAGTTTGTATACTATGATCCCATTTTTGTAAAATGAAGATACACTCATAATATACAACAAAATCTTAATGTTAGTTTTGAGGAGGGCAAGATTACAAGTGATTCTTATTTATGTTTATTTTTATTTTTTAATTATTAATTCCAGCACAAGCCAAAAAGAGAAAAAAAAGGTAATTATTGCAGAGCCCGAAACAGAAACACGTGTAAACCGTCACAGAACAGGAAGGGCACTTCTGATCTGTCCCCATGAAGTGACATTCCCTGTTGGCCATGCACTCAGTTCCGCGCCTGCAGAAGGAGCACGAGCAGGACAGCAGCGAGGAGCACACAGAGGGCACTCACGGTGGGCACTGCCACCTCCGTGGCCATCTGCATGTACCTCTGCAGCGGCTCTGAAATGACAAAACCCCTGTGAGACATGGTCACCCCAGCAGATGGCTCCTCCTACAGGCTCTGACTGCATTGGGAACTTGAAAAGGGGTGTCACATTTCTCATTTTCATTAGCCATGAAATAGAATTTGGTGAATTAAAGGTTATTTGAAAACTATGCAAGAGCTTTGTAAATATTTCAGAAGTTACCTACATTGGGTTCTAAATGCCTCAATACTTAAATTACTGATGTTAATTAAATTACCTAAATTAATCTCAAACTATTAGCAGCCATATTCCATAGTTTCCATAATGTTTTCTATTTTTGCTTTTTTTTTTTTGATTCAGGGTCTCAATCTGTCACCCAGGCTGGAGTGTCATGATCATGGCTCACCACAGCCTTGACCTCCTGGGCTCAGGCAGTCTTCTCGCCTCCAGTCTCCCAAATAGCTGGAACTACAGATACATGCCACCACTCCCAGCTAATATTTGGATGTTTTATAGAGACGAGGTGTTGCTACATTGCCTAAGCTAGTCTTGTCCTCTAAGGCTCACATGAACCTCCTGCCTCGGCTTCCCAAAGTGCTAGGATTACAGGTGCGAGCCACTGTGCCTGACCTGGTCTAACACTTTATATCTCTGGCACCGCATCAAAGATACATTTGTTAAAACAGATAGTTCGTGTCTAACCGCATATCCCTTCTCCCATTTAAACTTGTCCAACAGAGACTAGGAGGTGTACCCTTTTATACTAGCATCGTTCCATTGCTCAATGGATAGCGCATTGGACTTCTATATTAGCATCGTTGTTTATGGCTGCAAAGACAAGTTACTCTTATTTTTAATGCATTTTACTTACTTAGAGTAAGACTGAAGATAATTTTGAAAGACTTTCATTCATGGGATTTAGGAGCAAGTTTCTCGATTGCCCTTATTTAGAGATAAAGATAGAATTCAGAGCAACAAAGACTGTGTGTTGGCATTTCTGGATGCATAGGTACATCCCAGTTTTCTACATTCGGTCCTCTCAAGTCCCATTGCAGAAGGAATGATGGCCTCTGTGAGGGCAGGAACTTTGTTCATTGCTACATCTCAGGGCCTAAAATTTTTCCTAATGAATAGTGAGTGACAGCCAGGCGCGGTGTCTCCTGCCTATAATCCCAGTACTTTGGGAGGCCGAGGTGAGAGGACTGCCTTAACCCAGGGGTTTAAGACCAGCCTAGACAACTTGGCAAGATAGCATCTCTACAATAAATCAAAAATTAGCTGGACGTGGTGGCACGTGCCTGTAGTTCCAGCTACTTGGAAGGCTGAGGCAGAGGGATCACCTGAGCCTAGCAGGTCAAGGCTGCAGTGACCATAAGTATGCCACTGCACTCAGTCTAAATCACAGAGTGAGACTCCAACTCAAGAAAACAAAACAAAAAAACTCAACAAATAGTGCTTAATAATTACTTGCTGAATGAGCAATATGAGATCTGGAGTGTTCTTTGGCTTTTCCATTCCCTTTGGCATACTGGTTGACATTTCCCTGCCTTTTACAAGCCTACTACTACAGATTTATGGTATGATTCAGAAAGAATAAAACTTGAGTAGATAAAATATTTCTCTTTTCATGGTAGGCTTTTTTAATATTTAGAATGCTTATAAGTCCAGGCGCAGTGATTCATGCTTGTGTTTCCAGCAGTTTGGGAGGCAGAGACGAGAGGATTGTCTGAGTCCAGGGGCTTGAGACCAGCCTGGGCAACTTGGTGAGACCTCATCTCTACAATTAAAAAATTTAAAAAATTAGCTGGGCATGGTGGTGTGTGCCTGTGCTTCTAGCTACTTGGAAGGTTGAGGTGGAAGGGTTGCCTGAGCCCAGCAGGTCGAGGCTGTGGTGGCCTTGAGCGTGCCACTGCACTCCAGCCTGGGCGACAAAGTGAGACTCTGACACCCCCCAAAAAAATAAATAAAATATTTATAAAACAGAAATGTGGCATTGCTTCAAAGTAAAGAAAAAAATCACTTTAATCATAAGTGGTTTTGGAAGATTGACTCAGGTAGTTCCACATTTTGAGATTTTGGTTATTTCATTATAATTATGTAGTCTGGTTATCAAAGGAAAGAATGAAAATATCCTCACTCACCTGCAGCAAGCATCTGGTTGTTGATAAAGCAAGTTTCCAAGGCTTTGTGATACCAGCTTTCCACCTAATACAAATCCATTGTGTAAGTAATGTTGTCTTAGGCTAAATGTTTCGCTGTTTCAAATCATTTTTGGAATAAAAGGGTGAAAATACATGTTTTTGAAAATCTGCCTGCCATTTAAATTAATATTTATTGCACATCTATGTGCAGCATAGTGGGAGGGGAATAGCAGTCTATACTCTTGAAGAGTGTGTAGCTTTGTGCTTTTGTCATGATGTGATAGTTGCAGATGCCTCACAGCTGTCACTTCCACTGAGGGCCTACTGGGCTTACCTTAAAGTAATGTTGGTAAACAAGTGAGATTTATTTTTAAGTGTCTTAGGACACTCTAAACTACAATGTGTATTCCCTGCCTGTAGGCGCAGCAGCAAGAGGATGGAGAACTGAGAAAACATGTGGGTTATTGGAAGTGCTTGACAGGCTCTTGGGGCTACTAGGTTGGATGGTTTTTAATCCCCTTTTGGAGCCAATGTGTTTGTATGGCTCTGCCATTTGGTAGGGAAGGAAATGAAAGTGATGCAATCATTGTATGTTCTACTTCACTGTGTTTGCACATTTGGAAGGGTAGGTAATATTTGTTGGCTTTAAGATACAACATTTAGGTGGCTCAGTCTGTAACCCCAGCACTTTGGGAGGCCAAGGTGAGAGGATTGCCTGAGCCCAGGGATTCGAGACCAGCCTGGGCAACTTGGTGAGACCTCATTTCTACAATAAATCAAAAAATAAGCTGGGCGTGGTGGTGTATACCTGTAGTCCCAGCTACTTGGAAGACTGAGGCGGGAGGATCAACTGAGCCCAGCAGGTTGAGTCTGCGGTGGCTATGAGCATGCCACTGCACTCCAACTTGAGCAACAAGAGTGAGACTCCAATTTGAAAAAAAAAGGTACAACATTTAGAGTGACGTTTAGTTAAGAGTCTGTATTGAGTTTGACTATATAACCTAAGGCACACAGACTCCTACCCATCCTCTAGCTGCGCACTTAATGTTCTGTGAGTTGGACTGACGTCTAAGGTACATTGGCTTCATGCTAAGCAAATGAGAAAGGAATGGGGAAGGGTGAGTAGGAGGCCCAGGGCTGCGCCGTGGACCCTGGCTTCCTTCTGAAACAGCCATGACAATGAAGCCTACCTCTCTCGGATTGGGAAACCCATTGGCAGTGATGATCTTCCTATAATAGTGAACAGAAGCCTTCGGGTACCGTGGCTTATTTCTGCTATTAAATTCGACGTAGTAGAGTCCATATCTATCCATGTATCCCTTCTCCCATTCAAACTTGTCCGACAGAGACCAGGAGGTGTACCCTTTTATATTAGCACCGTCTTTTATGGCTGCAAAGACAAGTTACTCTATTTTTCATATATTTCATTTACTTAGAAAAGTGAGACTGAAGATAATACTGAAATGCTTTCATTTGTGAGGTTTAAAAGCAAGTTTCAGTTGATAATGTGTCTTGTCAAATTTTGTCCGGGGGGGGGAAGAAAAAAAAAAAAAAAAAAAAAAAAAATTTTGTCCAAATGGAAGAATATGTGAAGACAGTCTTGGTTTGTGTCTTACCTTTCAGCATTTCGTTTATGTGTCCTTTAAGGTACTGAATTCGCCACTTGTCACACAACTGAGTACAGTGTAGGTTTTGAGAGGCTCCATTTTCTGTCACGTATATGGGAGGGTCGCCATATTGAGTCTGCAAGTGAGTGAGAGCAGTACGTCTTGGATATTCTGACTTGCAGGTAGGTTTAGGCGTCAGAGGCTCATGTAGGAACAGAGACTCAAACCTCATTCACATCAAGTTATGAGGTGGACCCAGAAAAATTAGGAATTTTTTTTGGAGGGCAGACTCCTTGTAGTCCAGGCTACCCCTTACTAGGTAAATGTTCTGAAAACTCATCGGCATCAGTGTACAGTTAGCATTGCTGTGAGAGGCTGGCTGCATTTAACTTCAGTGAATTTTTTTGTGGAGATTATTTCAACATGTTTGTCCATTTCATGGGTGATTTACTATGTACCTGCCCACACCACACTGTGCTCAGCAGTTTTGGACCCACAACAGCACGAGGCCCATGCCCCACTCTACCCATTCACCTGATCTTATCTAAGTGACTTTTTTTTTGTTTGTTTCCCTGGATGAAAAAAGTTCTCAAAGGGAAATGTTTAGCTGATGTGACTGAAATGTAAACATATGAGAATAAATGCACAATTTTTAATAAATAAATTCCAGTCGTTTTTGGGTCCCTCCCATATTTCAGCGTTTAGAAAATATCAGATGATGTGTTTGTTTAGAGATGATACAGGCAGGAAACAAGTTCATGAAAAGGAATATATTTCTCAATAAACCAGCATCATTGGAGGGAAATGTACCTGGGGTTTGTTCTTCCCCACAGATAAGAAGGGCAGCAAAATAGCCAAGTGTGAGATAAGAATCATAGCTAGCTGCCTGAGCCTGTGGGTTTGAGACCAGCCTAGGCAACATGGCAAGACCTTGTCTCTACAATAAATCAGAAAATTAGCTGGGCGTGGTGATGCACACCTGTAGTTCCAGCTACTTGTAAAGCTGAGGTAGAAGGATTGTGTGGGCCCAGCAGGTCGAGGCTGTGGTGGCTGTGAGCGTGCCACTGCACTCCAACTTGGGCAAAAAAGTGAGACTCTGACTCAAAAAAAAAAAAACAATCGTAACTAAAGTTACATACATAGAAGTGGCTGCTCATAGTAGGTGTTTGTCTCTCGGGTTGAGAGGAGTAGCCCTGAAATATGCACAACTTGGTTCCTTCTGTCTTCCTAACTTTCAAGTGTGGGAACCTGAGCTGAGCCCCATGTTCTAGGCTGTAAGAACTTGGATTTGGGTCTACGTGTTCTGAATTGCCTGTCAGGGCCCACATGTGACAGTCACCTGGGCAAAGTTGAGGAGCCTCCGGAATCCCCACGGAGCGGAATGTGGCCACTTGGGCCGCAGGTCCAGCCAGCATGGGTCAGCCAGTTCCACCAAGTCCCGGTCGTTCTGGTAGCTGGGCCCGTGGCGCGAGGGGTAGCTCCTCTCCGTGATGTATCGAGTCATGAAGTGACCCAGCCCCAAGAAGTCGGACGTGCCTTTGATATAGCCCTTCTCCTGCCGCGAGAATGCTGGTAGCCTCGACATATCCAAGCCCTGCTCCACGCTCTTCCTTCCTTCCAAGAGAAGAGTACAGTTCAGCCAAGTCTCACTTGGTTCAACAGGAGTTCTAGGCAGAGGAACCAGCAAGAGAATGAGTAAAAGGCATCTGGAGTGGGAAGAAGTGGAGTTATCTCTGCTCACAGATGATATGCTCCTACCTATAGAACATCCTAAAGATGCCGCACAAAAAACTGTCAGAGCTGACAAGTGAGCTCAGCAAATTAGCAGGATACAGAGGCAACACAAAAGTCAGCTGCATTTCTATACCCTGATGATAAACAATCTCTGAAGGAGTTAAGAAAACTCCATTTAAATAGCTCCCCAAATAATAAGATACTTAGGAATTAACCAAGGAGGCAAAAGACTTGGACAGTAGAAACTACAAAACATCATTGAAAGAAGGTAGAGAAAATATAAAGTGGAAGTACATCCCATGTTCAGGGATTGGAAGACCTAATATTGTTAAGAGGTCAAAAAAATAAAAGTAAAAATGTAGCCAGGCATGGTAATATCCACCTGTAGTCCCAGCTACTAGGGAGGCTGAGGCAGGAGGACCACCTGAACCCAGCAGGTCAAAGCTGCAGTGAGCCATGATCATGCCACTGCACTCCAGCTTCAGCAATAGAGTGAGGCCCCACCTCAAAACAGAGAAACAAAAACACCCAGACTGCTACCACCCTGTGAATACTGCCTGCTGCCTCTCCTCCCTGACACTTGAAGCCAGAGCTTGGCAGTGTCTCCAGCAACAGATGGTGGACCTGGCGCCCAGGACCACATCTGGTCCCTGCCTCCCACCTGGCCACTGTTTGGATGGAGCCGGGGCAGAGGCAGGTCCTCAGGACACGCAGGGGAGAGCCCAAGGCCAGCCAGGCTTCCTCCTGGCTCTTCAAAGTCTCCATTTCAGGTCTGGGATGCACTTGGGCCCCTCCCTGCTGATTCCAGTGGTGACTGGCCATCAGTCCCCTGGGGTCTGGCCATCCACCTGAGCTCACCCCTCAGCCTGGGTAACCTTGCCATGGGTGGGGCCAGCTCACCGATGCTGTCCTTCATGACCTGTGGGTAGTCACCGGCATAGATGGGGTTGGCGAACCAGCCCAGGCAGAACTGCAGGTACCTCTCGGCGGCCTCAACGTCCATGGGGCGGCTCATGTCCACGGGCTCCCCCCAGTCGCAGTTCAGGGAGATCCCCAGTAGACCTTGTGAGGGAAGAGAGATGGGAGGAATGGGCCACCCGTGCGCCCGTGCTGTCCTCCTGGGGGCCGAGCTCACCTTGCTGCTTGGGGCGCCATGTGCTGTTGTAGGCATGCCAGGCGAGGGCATGGGCCTGAAACAGAGCAGGGGGTCACTGGGGGCCTCAGCTGCCGCCTCCTCCCTTCCTGCTTCTAGAGACTGTGGGGACCTGTGAACAGCACTCCTAGCCTTGACCACCCCAGGCCGTAGCCTCCCTCCTCTGTCCTGGAGGCAGCGATTTCTCTGTGCTGTGGTGGACTGTGGCCTAGGTCTGGCATCAGCATCCTGTGTCTGAAATTTTTGCTAGAGTGTGTTTTGCAACCCCTGGGTACTTTCCCCAGAGGTACTGCCAAGTTAGAAAGATGCCAAGCATCTGAGACAGTCTTGAGAAACGAGACCACCATGCCCGCTGCCTGCTGAGAGGCCGTAGCGAAGGCTAGTTCCGCATAGAGGGATAGGAGGCATTCAGGACGGTGACGCTCATTCAGTGGTTCCCCGGGGAGAGCATCCGCACCCACTGGGGAGCTGAAACGCCAGGTCATGGGCCCTTTCCCAGACCTCCTGGACCAGAAGCTCAGGGAGTGGAGTCCAGCAACCAGTGTTTCAATAGTGTTCAACAATCTTTTTCTTTCATTGTTTTGGAGAAAGGGTCTGATCTGTCGCCCAGGCTGGAGTGCAGTGGTGCGATCAAAGCTCACTGCAGCCTCAACCTCCTGGTCCCAAGTGGTCCTCTTCAGCCTCCCAGCATGCTCCGTGTGCCTGGCCTCAAGCCCTTCCAGCAGCACGTGCCTCCTGGTCTGCTGCCTCCACTTCCTCCCTGAATGATTCCTCCCTCTCTCACCCTTGCCTGTCTGCCCTGGAGACCTGCCTGGCGGCTCCTTCAGCAGAAGCCACTTCTCCCCATCCCCACATAGCTTAGGGCTGGGTGGGCGAGCCTCTCGCTGTCTCCCTCCCCCTTCCCAGTCCCAGGTCCCTTGAAGCCCCTGTGCCGATGACCTCTCCTGACCCCTTGCTGCAGTCCTTCAGGCAGGGCCCCCGTCACTCCCACCCCCACTCTGAAGTCGGTCCCGCTCACAGTCACACGTGTCCCCCTTCACCTCTCCTCATGAGGCGGCCTACAGGTGAGGTGTGTGCCCGTCTCCTTGGCTGGACGGCGAGTGTGTCATCCGGCAGGGCTGGACAGCAGGCCTCGCCCCCCTAAACTCCTGGCGGCACAGAAGGCACGGGGTGTGTGCGGCACGCAGGCGGGGCACAGAGGCCTGACTCACCTTGATAATGTGGTGTGCTGCCGTGTATAGGCCGGTGCCCCGGAGCTGCAGGCCTGGCGCATGCTGGCCGGTCTCGTAGCCTTTTTCTGCCATGGCCTGTGAGGACAGAGAGCAGGACCACAGCCGTCAGAAGTGGTAGAGGCGTGGCATGTGTGGGCTTCCCCGTGAGAGGGGCCCCACCTACCCGAGGGTCACTGAATGTGATCCAGCGCTTCACCCGGTCCCCAAAGGCTTCGAAGCACAGCTCAGCGTAGTCCCTGAAGTAGCCAGTCATGCTCACGTTCTGCCACCCGCCGAACCTGACCTGGAGCAGCTGTGGACATAGGGAGAAGCCGGAGACCCAGGGAGGCTCTGGAGTGAGGGACCACAGAGCAGCTTCAGCATGGGAGGGGCCACGTGACATTCCCCTGCACAAGGGGAGGCACATAGGGAGTGCAAGATGCCCACACTTAGAAGGAACTTGGCAGATGGAATATTTAAGAAAAGATAAGTCTGGTCATGGTGCTCATGCCTGTAATCCCAGCCCTTGGGAGGCTGAGGTGGGAGGATTGCTTGACCCTAAGAGTTCAAGAGCAGCCTGGGCCACCTAGTGAGACCCTATCTCTACAAAAAATGAAAAATACTATCTGGGTGTGGTGGCACACACCTCTAGTTCCAACTACTTGGGAGACTGAGGCAGGAGGATCACTTGAGCCCAAGAGTACGAGGCTGCAGTGAGCTATGATTGTACCATTGCATTTTGGCCTGGGCAATGGAATGAGAACTTGTCTCTCTAAAAAAAAAAGGAAAGGAAGAAAATGTGCCAGGGGAAGGGCCTGAAGACAGGAAAAGCATCTTGAATACGAATTCTGAAGAGATGAGCATGAGAGCTCTGAGGAGGGCTCGACCGTGCAGTGTCCTCACTCTGCTCTCCTCCATGGAGAGCTTTCTTCCCACCCAGTGTCTGCCACAAGGGCAGGCTGTCCCCCAGACTGAGGAGGAGGCCAGAGGCAGCCTCCTGCTCCTCTCCCCAGAGCCTGCTCTGCCCCATTCCCCACGGAGGCCTCCGGTGCCTCGCTCCCACAGAGGAAACCCGTTCCTGTTACCTCGCTTCGGCCCTGCGGCCTTCTGGCCCTGGCCGGAGCGGCTCCTCCAGCCTCAGCCTTCTCCTCCAAGGCTGCTCCCCAGACTCCAACCGAATCCCTCGCTACACTCCCTGCAGTCAGAACGGCCTTCCTCCCCTCCCGCCCTTCTCCCAACAGTCCCTGAGGCCCGCCTCCAGCTCTGAAACCTTAGGACCTTGTACCTAGCACCACCTGCCCTGTCAAGGTTAGATCCGTGGCTAGGCTGGACCTCTGGGCCCATTGGGTGAATGGAAAAATGGCGTGAATAGTGCCCCAGTGACTTCCCAGCACTGTGGCTCACGGGGACTGCCAAGTGGGGTCATGGCGTGCACACAGCATTGGCTCAAGCAAGTTGCAGAGATATGGCTCAACTTGTGATTTACACTGTGTCACCAAATCCTAATCCGAAGACGCGTCTCTGTGGTGTTTTGGTTTGTTGTTTTGATGCCAAATGTTTCAGAAAACACTAGGAGTCACATGCTCCACTTGTCACAGACCTAGCTGGGCTGCGTGGCCTCCTCCACTGTGGCTTGACTGCTTCTGTCCCCTCAAATTCATAAGCCATGACCCTGAGGTGATAGTAGTGCTGGACAGTGTGGCCTGTGTGGGCTGTTTCCTACCCAAGAGTTTTCTGAGAGAGCATGTCCCTCCTGCTGCCCCTCTGCCTCCTGCTGTATGAGGATGTGGCATTCGTGGTGCAGTCCTGGAGGCCCTCCCAGACATGGACCCCTCCAGCGCCTCCAATGTGGGTTCCCAGCTCATGGGAAGGACATTTACATTCCTTACAGATGCCCGTCTACATGCTGTCAAAGCAGCACCAGTGCCTGAGACAGTGGGCCAGGGAGGTTTTGCCCCAACTTATGGCCTGAGCCAGGACTGAACCCTCCTCCTGCCTGCCCAGGTGGTGCCGGCCCCATGCTGGGCCTCCTGCTGCCCGGCTCCCCCAGGGCTTCTGCACCCACCCAGTCTCACCTGCGGCAGGTCCCAGTGGTGCAGGGTCACGACAGGCGTGATGTTGCTCTGCAGGAGGGCATCGATCAGCCCGCTGTAGAACGTGACTCCTCTCTCGTTCACCTGCTCGGCTGTGGGCGACAAAAGCGCTGCCAGGGGGCCCTCGGAGTGGGCTTCAGTGGTGCAGCCTCCCCGGCCCATGGCCTTTGGAGGCCCAAGCACCCTCAGCCCACCTGTGTTCCTGTGGGCTGAGGGCGCTTGGGCCTTGAGGGCTGGAAAAGACCCCCCTGGGAGTCCAGGGACCCGCACACCTCTGAGAGTGGCTGGTCTCCCACCTGGGACTCTGTGGTGTCCCTGCAAAGCCGTCGTGGCCAAAGGGGCCGCCCCAGGACTCGGAGGGGCCGCTCAGCTCACCTCGGATGCCAGTGGGCAGCAGCCGGGGCCACGACAGGGAGAACTGGTAGTGGTTGACTCCAAGATCCCTGAGCAGGACGACGTCCTCCTGTCAACCAGGAGGTAGGGCTGGGCCACGGGATCTGGGCTGGGAGGGAGCTCTCGGGGGGGGAAAGAGGAGCTCGCCTCCTCCTCTGTGACAGAGGTGACACTGCCTGCCCCACACTTCCTGCGGTGTGTGCCAAGTCACATGAAATCAGAACACTGGGACATGGAGACGGCAACGGGTGTGCAACAAACTTGGTGATGGTCCCCCAGGAGCCACCCAGAGAGGGGCGTGGTGAGAGGATGGGCCACCAGAGAGGGACAGGGTGGGAGGACGGGCCACCAGGAGAGAGATGGGGTGAGAGGAGGGTCACCCAGATGGATGGGGAAAGAGGATGGGTCACCAGGAGAGGGACAAGGTGGGAGGATGGGTCACCAGGAGAGGAATAGGGTGGGAGGACAGGTCACCAGGAGAGGGATGAGGTGGGAGGACGGACCACCAGGAGAGGGGTGGGGTGGGAGGATGGGCCACCTGGAGAAGGATGAGGAGGGAGGATGGGCTACCCAGAAAGGGACAGCGTGGGAGGATGGGCTGGCCCTAGCCTTGCTGGGGGGTCAGCACCAGCAAGGATGGGGGTTCAGGCGGCTTTGTTGTCGGTCTGGCCACAGCGTCTGCCCTTCACTACCCAGCACGGGGACTAGGGATCGGCCCAGAGAGTCCTGCTTTCCTTTTCTCCTCCACTCCCATCCTGGCACCCACAGCCCAGCCCCCACGGGTCCCACCCACTTTGCTGCTTTGGGCGGGAGGTGTTGGGCAGAGCTTAGACTGACATTCACTTGGGCTCCCTCAGTATGTCACTCCTGCCTGTCAGTAGGCACATGCATACATGTATACACATGCACACATGAGCACACATTCAAACAGGTGAGCACACATTCAAACAGGTAAGCACACACGCGCACACACATGTAGACATACATGTATACAGAGATATACATGCACACACTCACGTGTGCACACATGAACACACCCAAATGCATATACAAGCACACACGCATGCACACATGCACAGTACATACATGCATTCACAAGCACTTGTGCACACACACAGACATACACGCACACACATTCACACATGTGCACACACATACACACACGCCCACACCCAAACTTGTATACATGCACATGCACACATGAATGCAGACACAGACACACATTCACATACACATTCACACACAAATCATGTACACATGCACACAAACATACATGCACTCAGGCATGCCCCACTCACCTGGACCCTATAGTAGCTGTTGCAGGCCACGTCTGCCGTCTCATCCCCCAGCACCTTCCCCTTACCGCCGTGCGTGAAGGCATCCCAGATGCTGGGCCCCTTCCCATCTTGGTCCCAGGCGCCCTCCGTCTGGAAGGCGGAGCTACCTGTGCCCCAGGAGAAGCCTGCGAGGAGACCCCTGGCTGGTCTGAGCGCCTGTTGTCAGACCCAGCTGTGCCTCCCAGGTCTCAGGGTTGCCCCCTGACACCTGCCCTGTCCATGGGGACCTTGTCTCCCTGCGAGTGGGCATGTGGGAGGGGAGATGTCAGCTGCACCTGGCAGGCATCATCTGTGGGTTTCAGTAACTTTAAGAATCTGGTAGAAACTTCTTTTACTTCAGAACAACCACATGGAGGCACCTGCCTCCGACCCCACCAGTCAGGAATGAAAACACCCGACCCCTTGGCAGTCAGCCAGGCTATAGTTGAACAGACAGATGGACAGAGGACAGACCAACAGGGCGAACGCACCAGGTGGGAAGGTTCCATAGTAGAAGGAGGCGTCTTCTGGGGACCCTGGCCTGCCAGCCCCCAGCCTGGGAACCAGCAGCAGCATCCACAGGGTGAGGACCCACGCCAGTGTCATGGCACCCAGCCCTGCCCCATGCCCGAGAGCTGTGGCCTGGGCTGGCCCAGGCCTGAGGGCAAAGGCCAGGGGTCAGGGAGGACAGGAGGGACTTGTGGACACAGCAGAGGCTGAGCAGGATGGTTCCTGATCCCAGCTGCCACTGAGGAGGGGTCAGGCTGGGCCAGGGGCTCAGGTCTAATGGGGAGGCCCAGCCCCTACTCCTCAGCGGTCCTCAGGAGTGGGGAGACCACTTCAGCCTCAGGGACTTGCCTGTCAAGTAGGGAGTCAGGACAACCTGCAGAGCCTGCAGGCTCCGCCTAATACCTCCAGGGGACACCCACCCGCACAGCCCATGACACCTTCACACACACACCCCAACAACCCATACCCCATGACACCCCCCCATACACCCCATGACACCCCCCCAATACACCCCATGACACCCAAACACCCCCTGACACCCTCATCCACATACCCTGTGGCACTCATACCCTGGGACACCCACACACCCTGTGACACCCCCACCCACACACCCTATGACACCCACATAACCTGTGACACCCGCACACCCTGTGATACCCTTATCTACATTCTCCCAGGGGCCCCTACCCACACACCCAGCAGGTGCAGGGGGACAGACCCCTCCCCTGCTGGCATCTCCTTTCCAGGACTCAGTTCTGGACTTGGGAAGAGTACCCTTGGGTCCCCTTGGAGGCCAGCCTGCCCGCATACCCAGGATTGTTCTTGTTCCCGGACACCCCCAGAGCAGCCACAGCAGCCAGCACTCCCCTGATGCCCCAGGCCTGCACTGTCCCTGGAGCCTTTGCAGGCAGGAAGGCTCTGGTGGGGGGGTGTGGCCGGTGGCCTGACCCCCCAGAGAGCTTCAATAGCCACAGAGGTGGGGGAGGGCGGGCAGGAATGCTGAGCTGGCAGTGGGGCCTGAGTCAGCACCAGAGCAAGGCCAGGGACCCATCAGGCCCTCTCTGGGGCACGGTGGAGGCAGGACTGCCCTCCTGGCCCCTCTGGGCTGGCCCTGCCCAACTTGGTCCTGTGACTCACGGTGGGGGCGGCTTGGGACTCACACGCTGGCGTCTGTCTGCGACTCGTGGCCGGGCAGGCTTGTACTCTGTGCAGACAAAGATCGGCCCCTCCAACTGACCTTGACCTAGAGGACCCCGCTCCGAGATGGGCGCTATTACTGGGAGACTTCTACCAGGCAACTGTGTAGGAGGGCCTGGCAGGGGTGGGTGTGCCTATGGGGATGAGCTGGCTCGGGGGCTTCTGCTGGCAACACCGTGGGGAGTGCTCCCAGTTCCTCCCAAATTCTACAACTGCCCAGGCACATTCGTCACAGGAGGCTAGGGCTGGACCCTCAGCATAGTGCATGCCTGACTGGGGAAGTCTGGGACATTTCCCAGCAGGTCTCCACCTGTCCATCCTCTGTCCTGCCCTCCAGAAGCATTTCCCGAGGCCACACCGGCACCACGAGAGGCCCTAACCAGAGTGGAGTGGGGCTTGGCTTACGCCCTCATGGTGGACATGAAGGGGGAGGAGAAGCAGAGGGAAGGGGGTTCTGGACACTGGTCAGGCAGCTGGGGCTGCAGTGGGAGGGTGACAGAATGCTGTGCAACTCGGGGTGGAGGCTGGCTTTGCAGGGACAGGACACTTGACGGATGGTTCAATGCCTGCTGGAAGGATGGAGCATGGGAGACATGGGGCGGAGGGGCCAGCAAGGCCCCAGCGTGCTACTGGGGACCTGGGACCTGGCATCTTCCCTCCTTTGCATCTACCTGCAGTGCCAGATGAGGCTGTGTTCTTGGGGGCCACCATGGCTGTCTCTCCTGTGGGCATCTAGGACTTGGGTCGCTGTTGGCATCGGTGCTGGTGCCTGCCTGCCTTGCCAAGCTTGGGCACAGGGGCCCTCTCCCTGGCTGAGGTCGGAGGAAACATACACCCTTAAGATCTAATGTCACCTCTGAAAAACACCCCTTCCCAGGGAGCCAGGAGCCCAGGACTGGTTGGAGGCGCAGGTCAGCGGGCATGGCTGGGGGTCTCTGTGGTTGTGATGCCTCGTCTTCCTCCCGTGGTTTCTAGCCTGACTCTGGCTGGAGGGAGGGTGGGCTATTCAGGCTGGTAAGCCCACTACAGTCTGAACATTTCCTCCAACTTTATTTATTGAATTAGTTTTATTATTATTTCAGGACAGAGTCTTATCTATCGCCCAAGATGGTGTGATCATAGCTCACTGTGTCCTCCACCTCCTAGGCTCCAGTGATCCTCCTGCCTTAGCCTCCCAAGTAGCTGGGACTACAGGCATGCACCACTCTTCCTGGCTGATTTTTGTATTTTTTGTAGAGATGGGATCTGCTGTGCTGCCCAGGCTGGTCTCAAACTCCCAGGCTCAAGAGATCTTACCACCTTGGCCTTCCAAAGCTCTGGTTATAGGCATGAGCCACCTGCCTGGCCCCTCAAATTGATATGTTGAAACTTAATCACTAATGCGACGGTCTTCAAGGGTGGGCTTTTGGGAGGTGATTAGGTCATGAGGATTTATAAAGGGCTGGAGGGGATCAACTGGGCTCTTTTGTCCTCATCCTTTCCCTTATGTGAAGACACAGCAACAAGGCACTGTCTTGCAAGCAGACAACAGTCATAGCAGACACTGCACCTTCTGTGCAGTGACCTTGGACTTATAGCCTCCAGCATTGTGAGAAATGCATTTCTGTTGTTCATGGGTTACCCGGTGCCCTGCCAGGGAGGGCCTTCACTCAGGCAGAGGTCTGGAGTCCTGAGGCTCCAGGGAGGGTGGGCAAAGCCCTGTGACCTGTCAGCTGGGCCTGGGAAGGTGGCAGAACGTTCGGCAGTCATGAGAAGCCCAGCAGGGGTGTGGGCACAGTGCTGCGGGTAGACACTGGGCCAGCCCTTTGCGCTGTGCCGGGCCGGTTGGAGTGGAAGGGAGAGGGGACTGGCTGTGGGTCCTGTGCCAGGCACTTCCTCTCCTGGATGGAGTGTCCGTCTCCAGAGGTGAGCTGCTCCTCTAGGGTCCTCCGGCCACACCCACTGCCCAGAGCTGGTCTTTCTCCAAGGGCCTCGGCAGCCTCCTCCCTGGCCCCAGAGCTGGTCTTTCTCCAGGGGCCTCAGCAGCCCCTCGTCCAAGCCATCACACCCGGGTCCTGTCCCCGATCCAGCCAGGGCAGCCCCAGGTTAGCCGGGCACAAGAGCCAAGGTTCCATGCTGGCACATTGGGTGACCTTGGACCAGACATCACCCCCTATTTCCTACCCTTGGGCCTATTTCCTCCTGTGCAACAGAGGAGATGGCGACCCACTGTCTGAAGTCCCCAGCTCTGGGGTTCCCATCAAGAGGGGTGGGCTGTCTCCGGGCTGTCTTGGTTTTCCAGAGCTCTGTCCCCAAGCCTGTCACAACCCTGGAAACACATCGGGCCTCCACGCAACACCCACAACTCTGAGTTTCCCATGGGTGGTGACTCCCAGCATCCACCCCCTTTCTCAGAGCCCCCTGCCTCTTAGGATCAAAATGTTTAAACAGGCAGACACAGCAGCACACATCTGTACCAGGGAATATGGGGAAACCATGAAACTGTCCAAAGCGAATCCATGTGCAAAGCGGATCCCATTTTGTGCTCGAAAAAGTGCATGAGGCTGGGTGCAACAGTAATGCCTGTCATCCCAGCACTTTGGGAGACCAAGGTGGGAGGATCCCTTGAGCCCAGGGGTTTAAGACCAGCTGTGCAACATGGCAAGACCGCTCTCTACAAAAAAAAATTTAAAGGCTGGACTCAGTGGCTCAGCCTGTAATCCCAGCGCTTTGGGAGACCGTGGTGAGTGGATTGCCTGAGCCCAAGGGTTCAAGACTTGCCTGGGCAACTTGGTGAGACCTCATCTCTACAATAAATTAAAAAAAATTAGCCGGGACTGGTAGTGCGCACCTGTAGTTCCAGCTACTTGGAAGGCTGAAGCGGAAGGATTGCCAGAGCCCAGCAGGTCGAGGCTGCGGTGGCCGGGAGCGTGCCACTGCACTCCAGTTGGGGCGATGGAGTGAGACTCCAACTAAAAAAAAAAAAATTTAAAAGTTAGTTGAGTGTGGTAGCTCATGCCTATAGTCCCAGCTGCTGGGGAGGCTGAAGTGGGAGGACCACTTTAACCTAGGAGTTTGAGGCTGCAGTGAGCCATGACTATGCCACTGTACTCCAGGCTGGGTGACAGAGTGAGACCCACCTGACTCAAAAAAAAAAAAAACCAAAAACAAACATCTAAAGACAAACAAAAATCATACAATTGGAGAGCATCTGGGAAACTGCCCCAGTGTAAGGCAAAAGAGGCTACAGTTTTGCTCAGAGTCTCTGAGCTCGGCTGTCATGGCCCCTCCCACTTACAGACAGGGTGCTGGGGCTTCCTGGGGGTCGCACAGTCACTCACGGCTGGCTCAAGGTAGTCCTGGCCCTGGGCCTCCTCACCTCAGTTCTTCCCCGCCACCCGCGCAGTCCCCCTCCTGTCTGTCTGAACCCAGGAAGGACTGCAGGCCTCTTCTCCAACTCCCAAGGCTCAGAAGATCCCTTCCAGGTCAAGAAATCCAGCCTGGGTTCCCCTCCTTTGCTGGCCCAGTCACCCACCCACCCACCCAGTCCCCAGCCCCAGGCCTGCAAACTGCCCAGGGGCTTTGCCCAGCTCTTCTCCTCCAGGACTGGCCCGTAGCACCAGCCTCCTCCTCCTCCTCCCTCCAGGGCCCCCTCTTGGGCCGTGAACCCCAGCCTGGCTGTTTCCACCCTTGGCCACTGTGGCCAAGAAAACAGGAAGCATCTGAGTCACCCGTTGTCCCCCAGGGCTTTGGCTGTCTGGGCCCAAGTTCTGGAGTCAAGGGAGGACACGGAGGGGAGGCTGGCCCCACAGAGGCCAAGCCTGCCTTGTGGGGCTCTGTCTTCCAGCTGTAGGACCCCAGACAACCAGCGACCCAGGAACCTCCCAGGTTCTTCCTGGGATGAGACAGGGCCCAGACTT